TCAGATGCCCTGCTAAAAGTGACTAACTTGTGAGTTGAAAGTGATACACTAAAAGGATGCCTGGGAGTCCTACTTGAATATTCGGCTGACGATGGCAAGTGGTTGCTCACCTGGGTTACCGTTTCTTGGGACCTAATGTTTTATTTGAGGATTTGACAAAACTGACGAATCCCCTATTCAGCAAGCCCAAAGCCGTAACCATCCCCCTACTCCAAATACCGGTTTTTCTCCAACCCTGAAAAAAGCGTTGGTCTTTGGAGTGGGGGGAATTCTGGCCACCCAAACTTCTGGGCAGTGAATTGCCCCCGGGCCCTTTGTTTTAATTTGGTATGCCATGGTATGCCTGGAGTCTCCTGGTCTTTGGAGTGACCCCGACGCATACCCCCTACTCCAAATACCCACTTTGTTTAGGGCATTTTTTTGAAAACCGATCGGTTTTCCATGGTAAATATCTCCTTTTTTAGTAGAGGGTCGACAAATGAGACCAACTAAAAAACGTCATCGGGCATTGGGTGGTTACGGGGTAGCACCTGCGATCTCAGGACCTAAGTCTCGATTTTCGGTGTTTGTTTCTCGATTCGAGTCCTTTCGGATTTTCGTTCCGGTCTTTCGTTTCGTCTCGATGTTCGGAAGACCGAATTTCGGCCCGGGGGAATATGACAAACTTTCTTCATGACATGGTCTTCTGGAAAAATTATGTAGGTATCTAGCATGGATCTACCTGGAGTCTCCCGAATTGGACCTGAAATGCAAATGGAAAGGGTCAGACTACCCAAAAGAATGGGTTCATGGAACCATTTCTATTTAAAGGGCCGTGGAGACTCGAGACCGAAGTGGGCCCGAAATAAACATGGGAAGGGTCAGTACCCAAAAGAATGGGTTCATGGAAACCCACCCTTTCGGGGCAGAAGGAGACTCCAGGTACTCGGCAACGATCATTTCAAGTTCGCGGGAAAGCTAGGGGAACTACCTGGAGTCTAACCTTGGCTTTCAAACGGGCCAAGACCAATTTACTGCTTTGGGTAGACCAACCAGTTTAGGGTAAGCTTAGGTGGTAAATCGAATTCAAAGCAACCTAGTGCCATCTGACCAAAGGTATGGACCCTTAAAAATAGTTGGTCATTTGCCCCCACAAGTAATAATTGGGGTCATGGCAACCCATGTGTGAAGGGTCGGAAGGAGACTCCAGGAAATGTTGACCTCATCAGTTAAAAGGATAATTAGGGTGTCCTAGGATGCGAAGATTCAGAGCACTTTGGAGGGGCTTTTGGGGTCAACAACATCTGTCCTCAGATCCCCTGCCAGAAGTTTCACTTTTATATAGCGGCTGCAATGGAAACCACCACTAAACTTAAGTAACTTCAGTGGAGCAACGTAGGGAACCGAACGGCCCACAAACCACCAAGTCATGCACCCCGGGGTTCAACCGCATTAACCTCAGATGCCCAGTGGCTATGGGCAAAAAAGGCCACCTTTTCCTTGTTGGTTGAGTTTAAAGGAATCGGAACCCTCACCAAAAACAAGGAAAAAGGATTGTGAACACATCTAGGTCCTCCAGCAGAGAGGATAGAATAAGGGTACCCTTTTTTTCTGCAGTCTACTTTAGTAGTGGAACCCTCCCCAAAACAAGGGAAAAGTGCACCACGGGCTTCAACCCCCTAACTCCGCGGCCGCTGTCCTTTTCTCAAGAAAACGCGCCTCTTGTTTTGCTGGGCCACCGATTTCTGGCCAAGCGCTAGAAGGAGCGTCGGGTCTGGCCATTCTCAGGTGCTGAAAACGGGGAAAAATGATTCACCCCAGTTCCCCTCCTGGGCCAACTTACCCAAATGAACATAGGAACACAGTGCTTAACCACAAGAATGGTTGGTCATGGAATCGTGGGTGGACTCAACCCTGTGAATCGTGGGTTATGACACAGATTGCTACACACGTTGGTCATGGACCCATCTTTCAAAGGGTCATGGAGACTCCAGGTACAGGGGGATCGAATCATTCCAGCATTTCTTCGGTGCAGGAATTCGTCCTCACAATTCATAAGACCTTCGGACTCCGTTCAATGTTTAGTCCACCCTAAAATGTACCAAGATGCGGAGAAGACCCCGTACTCAATCACAACATGGATTGAGAACACATCTAGGTTTTTTGGTAGAGAGGTTTGAATAAGGGTACCCTTTTTTTTCTGTAGTCTATTTTAGTAGTGGAACTCTCCCAGCCAAAAAAGAGCCAAAAGGGCACCTAGCTGGGGGGACCTAGTTACTCCTAAAACTTAAGTTGGCACGTCAAAAACCCCAGTCGGGGCCCGAAGAAAGAAACAAAATGGTTGGACATCTACCGAAAAGAGTTCGGTCATGACCGCATTTTGCAAGGGTCCAACTATATAGGAATTCTAGGGGTAACTTCCATTTCCATTCTTTCCAGGGATCCGAATGTTTCTAGAAAACCACCAAAAGCCCTGGGAGAACGGCGATTGGTTTTTGACAAGAACGATGGCTGAAAAGAATGGACAAGGAATCAACTAGAGGAATGGCTCTGCGTCCATGGACTGCACATTCTTGCTCTCACTTACTCCTTCCCACCGCCCAAAGCTGGGCGATTCAATCACCCGCGGTCGCAGATGGCATTTGCCAAATCCACAGGAGCCATGGTCAACATTCATTGTGTCCCCAACTGATATTGGAATTTGGTAAGTAAAACCCATGGCGTCTCCTTTACTATAGGTTTTGTCTCAACATACGGGGAACCTCCCCCATTTAGGGGTGTTGTTCTTTCTGGTTCCCGTTTAAAGCTATTCGAAAGGGAGTTCCCCCGATAAAGACGAGCCACCGTAGCCGGGACAAATATTGACCGCTCGCGATAAGCACGACAAGCAAGCGACTCCTTGAGAGAGGCCTGCCAAGTCCGAGCGTAGCAGTGAGTCACGCCTATGCGGGTCTGCATTTCAATTGGGGACCCATGGTGGACATCACTTTATCAGAGTTCTGTCCACCATCTGGAAGGTTGTCCCCCCTCGAACAAAAACAAAGCCATGTGTTGGTCCAACTTCACAACCCTTGGTATGTGCAAACAACTTTACTTTTTTGCAGCCCCCGAGCCTAAAAACGAACAGCACCAGAAACAAACAAAAACTCGATCCAAGAACAGGGAACTGGGCTGTTCGTGTTCAGATCTCCCCCCCCCCACTACAAGTTTACCTTTAAGTGGATCACCCCCGAACCTAAAAACGAACAGCGCCAGAAACAAACAAAAAAACTCGATCCACGAACAGCGGGTCAATCGGAAATCCGACTCAAAACCAAAAGCCTAGAACGCCAATTGCCACGTGAGAAATCCCATCCGATCCTTTGGACGTTAGCCACGCAGCGACCCCTTCCCGAATGAACTTGCACGCTTGGTGGAAGGGGATCAATGAGAACAGGCAGAATTTTCGAGGCACCTTTTCCCATCTAGACCGATTTGAATAGACCCATTCCCTAGACTAAACCCACACGAAACTTAACCAGGTCTGGAATTGTTTTTCAGGAATCCTTCTTTCTACGCAACCCTCAGAAATTTGGCTGTGGGTGACAAATATAGGTGCCCAAATATGGAACCCTGGTAAATGGTAACATGGACCAACACCTGCGGTTGCCTGGTGGTTTAAGTTTTACCCATACCCATTTAAGGGAAACCGGCGATCGGCTCTTGAAAAGGACGCCGATCCCATGGAAGAATGCACTAAACAAGACCGACATGTCTTGTGCGCCTTTCTTTTGGAGGATTATCTTTCTGTGGTGTTGAAGGGAAACCAACAGGACCACCGAAGACTCTTTCGGGGGTTCCACATTTTAAGACACCTGGAGCCCCGAAACGCCACTTTTTTTCGGTCAAAAGGCATATTTGGCATGTTTTTACCCGAAAGGTTGTTTTTTTGGGTCATTTGCTTTAGTTGCCCGTATTTGGCCGTATAAAACCCATATTTTGTCGATAAAATATTGAACAAAAGGCGAAGGAAATCGTATTTGGCCGTATGACCACTTTTTTCGGGCAAAGCCTTTTGACCAAAAAAAAGGAGTGTGTTGGGGCCCCAGGCACCCAAATAGACCAAATAATGAATCTATGACACCGTGTTGCTAAGACTAAACCAAAGGCACCCCCGAAAAATGCCCCTGGAAATTTATCAGAATCTGTTGGGATCTGAAAAGTGGAAAAGCGGGTACAAAAGCTCAAAAGTTCCGTGGTTGCAGAGGTCAGTTCTTGCTGCAACTCTGAGGTTCTGCATGGACCAGTGTCACACACCCCTTTTTGGCTTGTTTAAGAAAACCAAAGGCCAACCACCATGTTTTTTGGGGGGGAGCCCCAAATCCTAAAAAACATATTTGAGCCAGCCACATTGATTCCTGACTCCAAGGTACATTCAAGAACAAAAAAGGTCGACATGTTGTAAAAAGGTGTCTCAGGGGCATGTTGGTGAAAGTCCATTTCCCAGAGTTGATACGAATTTATTGGTGGAAATTCCTTGAAACGATCGATCTACTTGAGGTTCCAAAAAGGGAAATGTGTGTGTATGTGTGGGTGTTTGTGTGAGCGTGTGTCTTTGTGAGGACACGGTCTGAATGAGAAATCAAACAGACCGACGCCCAGTTTGAGGCTTCTCTTCGACGAAGAAACAAAAGGAAAGGAGGAAACCCAAACCTCTATTGGTAAAGCCCCCCTGAAAAAATCCAGTAGTGAAATCGATTCCCATTAGAACCAAAAAGGGGAAAACAAACAAACATATCCTGAAGCAAATGGAAGCAAAAAGTGAGTCTGGCAACACTCACTGCTATAGGTGTCTTTTAGGGGAAATAGATGGATTTCCCTGGTAGGTGAGAAAAAGCACCAGGTAAACCACTTGGTTGCTGTTGACCCGCCTGCAAAAAGTTAAACTTTTTCGGGGTTTAGTGGAAAACACCTTTATTTCCCACACAGTTAAAGTCTAAAGATCCAACCCAATAGCAGTCAAGACCAGGGCCATCTATTTTTCTAGCAAAACAACCAAAAAGGACACCAAGTGAGTCACTGCTCGCTGTCTTCTTTCCGCTTTCGCCTCTCCGGCTTGGCTCCTGCATTCGGACACCCATCCAAACATTTTTGGGCCTGGCCAAAGCTCGGTGGCTTTCTGCTCCCCTGCTAAACGTGACTAACTGTTTTAGTGCAGTTTAATACGGTAAACCCATCAGTTGGCGAAAAGTTCTCAAGTCCGAACATCCCTTGGCAAAACGCAAGGACAAGTTGGGAACTCCCGAGGTCGCGACAGCCAGAGGTCGTTTCGGGGGTCCCAACCCGCCAAGACCCCGGTTTTTCTTTCACGCGGAAAGAGCTGGGGGTGTCTTTTGGGGAACCCACGTGTGTGTGTGTGTGTGTGGTGTGTGTGTGTGTGTGGTGTGTGTGGTGTGTGGGTGTGTGGGTGTGTGTGTGTGTGTGGTGTGTGTGTGTGTGGTGTGTGGGTGTGTGGGTGTGTGGGTGTGTGGGTGTGTGGGTGTGTGGGTGTGTGTGTGTGTGTTCGTTTCGAGAGCAAACCAAAAACCCACCAGCCATTTTTTTGGGGGGCCCGAAAAAAGGACGAGCCACCCACATTGCTTTGCGCTGGGGTGTCTTTTGTTGGGGTGAACGCGGCTGAAAAACAATAACAACCCCCTCGGAAACCTCCCCAGAACCTGAAGAACCTGCCGTTTGGGTGTCAGCTTGGGCAAAACGGATACCTACAAAACACTGTCAACTCTTTGCCGGTCCAAAGAAGCAGAACAAAAAAAAAGAACACCAACAAGCCGGCCATGCTGGTCCAAAGAAGCAGAGAAAACAAAACAAAAACCCAACCAGCCGGCCAGACGTTTGGTTGAGGTGAGTCAGTGCCAAAACAGGGGCCGGCCATTTTGGATCGAGAAATCGCCGGTCGGCTCGCCGGAAACTCCGTTTCCGTTTCTTCGGCCGCCCTGAGACGGCCGCCTGGGACTCCGGTCCTGGGATGATGGTGGGGTGTATCGCCCGCTGACCTGGCGGTTGAGAGACGAGACGGCTTTGGCGCCTCTCCCTGGTAGATCTCAGCGCCAAAGAAATTCACCACTCTACAAACTCACGCAGCTCCTTACCGACTGAACTTGCGCACTTGAAGGGGATACCTGAGAACAGGCAGAATAGGGCTAGCTCCCCCATTCTTTCAGATCTTTCTTTCTAGAAAACCTTCCCAGCCCTGACCGCGATCGTGTTTTTGTTCTTTCTTTTAACAAAGCAGGCCAAAAAGAAGGGGGAATCAACCCCTACCTGGAGTCTCCCTCTGCCCCGAAATAAAAATGGGGATCCCATGACCAACCATTATTTTTTGGGTAGTCTGACCAACCCATTTTTTAAGGGTCCTTAGGGAGACTCCAGGTAGAACTATAAATAACCTTTGGGCTTCTCTGTCCTCTGCTGGTTCAGGCGGACAAGGCTACGGGCGTCTTTCAGCTGGATGCATGGCATGCGGCAAATAGTTTTTTTTCCGTGACACATAAAAGCCGCGGAGTTTTTGGAGGCCGGATTTTGGAGTTGAGTTCTGTGTATCTGCCAACAAGCCGAAATCGAGGTGGTCACTACAACATGCTGCTTGATGCAACTCGAAGCTAGGGAATCTCATTGGGCCCTCCCTGGCTGCTACAAATGCTATTGACCTGGATACCCTTTCAAAAATGCATGTCATGTGAGCACAAGCCCTGGACATATATTCAAAAAACCATTGCAACCTTGGGATCTTTCGGAGCCCTGACATCCCAAATCACTTAGTGGTGGCGTTGGCTCTGACCTTCCAAGTGGCAACGCGAACCAAGCCTCATCCCTAAATGCAACGCGAACCAAACCCCATGCCTACAAAGTGAAATAACTCGGACGCCTGAACATGGCCTTCAGGCCAAACAAGAGAAGCTACGGATTCTCGGTCGCGCAGGGATTCAGAAACTTATCGCCCCCGACTCGCAAACTGCGGGTTCCAAGACTTAAACAAATTGTGCTAGTCTAGGTCCTCCAGTAGAAGGTTAGAATAAGGATACCTTTTTTGTCGTAGTCTATTTTAGTAGGGGCCAACCAAAAAAGGGTAAAATGGCACTACTGGGGACCTAGTACGGGTCCCGGGCTTGCTATGCCGGCTCCATAGAAACCAAGCCCTGTACACCCAGAGCTGTTTTAGGGGTGTTTAACAGGCATTCCCCCAAATTCCATTAGGAGGCTTTGTTTTCTGCAGGCCCCTACTAAGAACGAACAGAACAAACAAAAAGACAAAACACCTGCCACCAACAGTGAAGGCCATTTGTTTCAGTCCATTTCATTTTCACCCCCTGGAAACCAAAGTAAGGCTTCCACATGTCCAGTAGTGATAGGTCCCCTTTAAAAAAACCAGCGAAGGAAGCGAAAAAAACAACATATTCTCTCAGATGCCCAGTGGAATTCCGTGTGGGAGAAAACCACATTATTTTCGTGGGCTGACTTTAAACTTGGTTGCTGTTTACCCCTCCGCAAAAAGTTTAACTCTTTTGGGGTTTGGTGGAAAACCCCCTTGGTTTCCCAAAAACTTAAAGTTTGAAGATTCAACCCAATAGCAGTCAAGTAAAACAGGGATCCTTACATTATACACCTGAACATTGCCTTGTAAATGGTGGTTTCCCTGTATTTTGGCGGAAAAAGTAATGTTTCAAATTGGCCAAATGTATCTTTTAAGGAGCCCTGCAAAAGGGAACCCTTCCCACAAAAATCCAAGGCGACCTCCGCTGGGTCAAAAAGGTCCTTCGCCTCTCGACTCAGCTCCCTCGCCTGTGGGCTCCCCCTCGAAGGTCCCACGCCGCTGGGCCTCGAAAAAAAAATAAAACCCGAGATCGCGAGTGGAGGCGGTTTTGAGGTTGAAAGTGTGCCCCCGTGACCTCCAAATACCGATTCGGCCTTGTTCTAGTTGGTATGTTTGGAAAAACCGATCGGGTTTCCATGGTAAATATCTCCCTTTTTAGTTTATTGGGTCGACATCATACCAAAAAAAAAGTGGGTATTGGGTGTATGGATGGGCTGGACAGGAACCCAGAACCTCCGTGAAATTCGACAACAAATCGAGTTGAGTTAGTTGTTTGCTTTGAACAAAAAGGGTTAAACTTCATTTAGATTCCATTTTCATGAGGAGACTTGACAACATAGTTGGAAGTTGTTTATTTCCTTCTTTCTTTTAGTTGTCTGTTTGTTCCGTCTTTCCTTCTTTCCTTCTTTCCTTCTTTCCTTCTTTCCTTCTTTCCTTCTTTCCTTCTTCTTTCTTTCTTTCTTTCTTTCTTTCTTTCTTTCTTCCCTCCTTCCTTCCTTCGTTTCTCTTTATATATCGGCTCTCTCTATCTATCTATCTATCTATCGATCGATCGATTTATCTATCTACCTATCTATCTATTCCTCTCTAGCTACCTACTCACGCACTCGATCTATTTGCGTACCTATGTGTCTACCTAACATCCCCACTCATGTTTTCTCGTACGTAGACATGCTTGCTTTATCTTACGTGTGTGCGAAACTACCCTTCACTTAGAAGTCCTTCTAAACTTCCTTTGAGAAGGAGCGGCAGCTTTCAAGGAGCCTTGTACGGAGCTTTAAAGTGAGCCTTCAAAGGAGTTTGACTATCATTTCTGCAAGGAATTGCACAAAGAGCGTTTTGCGCAGCCTGAATTATAAGCAGCCTTAAAAAGCGCGTTCTAAGGAGTCGTTCAAAGAGCTTTGTGCGGAGCTTTACAGGGCAGTTGAAATTAAAGAGCTTTTTATTTTGCAAGTCTTAGCAGCCTGACATTTGTGAGCTTCAAGCTGTGTGAGTTGTACAAACGGAGCACGTTTCAGGACCCGCGGTTTAGAGCTGCTTAAGGAGCTCCAGGAAGCTAAGCTATACAGGGGAGCCTTCCGAGGAGCCTTCAAAGGATCTTTAACATATTCCCAATAAGGAACATTCCATAAGGACCTTCATAAGAAACATCCATTTCGATTCTGCCCTTATCAGATGCATTCAAACTCCTAGACGATCCATGGCTTTAAACAAATTAGGTGCATGCCGCCCTTAGGGTACTGACCCCAGTTTTCAAGGGGCATGGACTCCAGGTAACTGAAAAAGCTGATGCGTACTTTCTCGGCGCGGCCGTGAAATTGTGCCCGGTCATTGTTCAACCAGGAAGTCTCCTTCTGACCCTGAACAAAATGGGAAGGGTCAGACTACCCAAAATAAAGGTTGGTCATGGTTCCCCATTTTGATTTCGGGTCCAATTCGGGAGACTCAGGAAGTGATGCTTAAGTTTTTTTGCGCCGAATCTTCGCACCTTGAAAGCCCGCTCGTTTAACAGCACGCTCACTGTGTCCCAACAAAACCACAAACTCCGCATGTCCCAACCACGCGCCGTGGACCGCACGACTCACTGGCCGGGGGGGAGAAAGCCGCAGAGATCTAAACAACCCTCGCAAAGCCCACCAGATCTGGACACTTTCAATGAGTGGAATGAGGACCCCAGCAAAAAACGGCTTGATCTTTTTTGCCTGGTTAGTGGGAAACAAAGGGGACCCCAAAAAAGCAAAAAACAACTAAACAGGGGAGCTAATTCTGGGGAGGAATGGAGTTGGCCGCAGTTCTGCAGGTGTGCCGGGAATGACGAGGCCGTTTTTGAGGGCCGGCCGTATTCTCGAGGGAACGGCCGTAAGTTGCAAAAGAAAAAAACGTACAAAGCCCATAATTTCCATTTCCGTAGGAAACCCGAGCCAAACAGACAGATCCCATGAAAACCCCCGAAGCTCGAAAAGGAAAAGTGCATGTTAGCCCGAGGCATTGCACAGCTCGGATGGCAAGAAGGGGGTTCCTGGAGTCTCCTTCTGACCCTTTAAAAATGGTTGGTCATTAGCCAAAATAATGGTTGGTCATGGACCCATTCTTATTTCGGGTCATGGAGACTCCAGGTTGCCGTACGGGGGCTCCGAGTCCCCGTTTTTGGGCCCTCGGCCATGTTACTATCCTGGTTTGGGCGCTCCGTCGGAGCGTTTCTGGTTTAAGCTTGCGTGGCATGCGTGCGGAACGGCTTGGATGCGTTTTTTGTGGATCCACCCCAGGATGTTAAAAGAGTAGTAAAAGAGTACTAAAAAGAACCTACAGGGGGAAGGACGGGTGAAATCCACAAAAAGCGCGTCCAAACCGTTTTCTAGACATGCGTGCAGCACCAAGCGAATTTGTTTATAGGCTTACCACAAAGGCAAACGATGGCAAACAGCACAGCCAAAAAGTGGGGAAAGGCAAACGGCCAGAAGAAAAAGCGCCTTTCGTCCCCAGGTTCTAATTATCAAAGTCATCATTTGTACCACAAACAACTCGGGAAAACCAAACAAAAACTCGAGAAATCCAAAACACAATCCAGAGAAGTGTTGGTTTTGCCCAAAGTTGTGTGTGTGTGTGTGTGTGTTTTTTGTCTTTCTTTTTTCCGGTGTTTTCAACGTATTGTTTTCTTGTGGTTTTCCTTCGTTTTTGCTTCTCCGCGGCTGAAGTGGTTTTTGTTTGCCTAGCCCTGGCCTTAGCCAAACCCTGGCACACCCTGGCGCGCACGAAAGGGCGGTATGTGAGTCTACAATTTAGGGAGCGCTACGGGTAGGTTTCGGATAGGTCTAGGGTAGGTTTAGGGTGGGTTTGCGGTAGGCTTAGGGTTGGTTCAGCGTGGGTCAAGGGCTAGGACTCGGGTTGGTTTAGGGTCCACAGGTACGTTCAAGGTTCAGGGTGTTGGTGGACATTCCAACTCATTGCATCTCTCGAACCAAGAAAAATGGCTGTGGCTCACAAAACCGGTATCAAAATGGAACCCTGATAACTGGACACATGGACCAAACCCTGCGGTTTGCCCCTCCGGTCGCTTAATTTTGAGCCACACCCAAATGAATGATCGATCTCCACCGAACGGTCTCTTAGTAATAAAGAAAATCATACCCATCTCTGATTTTTCCTCCCCCTGATTTTTCCTCCCATCTGCTCCAGAATTCGCTTCCGAGCGCTTGATATTGAATTCGCCACCTGGAGTCTCCCTAAGGACCCTTTAAAAATAGGTCCATGACCAACCATGACTATTTTGGGTAGTCTGACCCTTCCCATTTTTATTTCGGGTCCAAAACCGGGAGACTCCAGGTACCTGCCACGCATCCGTTTGGATCTGGGTTCACCTTCCCCTAGCTTCGGCTTCACCTTTCGGCTCCGAAAGTGCGGAGCTTTTTCGTGGGGCCGTGCCTGGAGTCTCCCGGTGCTGCAAAAGCACCGGATGTGCTGGACGTTCCAAGCTGCTCTTGCACCTGGCTGCTGTCTCCGCCGTATTCTGGATCACCCCAGGCCACAACAGCGCCAGATTCCAGAATGGCAGCAAAAGCACCGTCAGTTGCTTGGATGTGTTGGACGTTCCTCAGCTGCTCTTGCACCTGGCTGCTGTCTCCGCCGTATTCTGGATAACCCCAGGTCACAACAGCCCCAGATTCAAGAATGGCAGCAAAAGCACCGTCAGTTGCTTGGATGTGTTGGACGTTCCTCAGCTGCTCTTGCACCTGGCTGCTGTCTCCGCCGTATTCTGGATCACCCCAGGTCACAACAGCGCCAGATTCAAGAATGGCAGCAAAAGCAAGGCGAGTTGCTTGGATTTGTTGGACATTCCTCAGCTGCTCTTGCACCTGGCTGCTGTCTCCGCCACTGTCTGGATTGCCCCAGGTCACAACAGCGCCAGATTCCAGAATTGCAGCAAACGCCCCCCTCGCATTTCCTTGAATGCGCTGGACGTTCCTCAGCTGCTCTTGCACCTGGCTGCTGTCTCCGCCGTATTCTGGATAACCCCAGGTCACAACAGCCCCAGATTCCAGAATGGCAGCAAAAGCCTGGCGAGTTGCTTGGATGTGTTGGACGTTCCTCAGCTGCTCTTGCACCTGGCTGCTGTCTCCGCCGTATTCTGGATAACCCCAGGTCACAACAGCCCCAGATTCCAGAATGGCAGCAAAAGCACCATTCGCAGTTGATTGGATGTGCTGGACATTCCTCAGCTGCTCTTGCACCTGGCTGCTGTCTCCGCCCCAGTCTGGATCGCCCCAGGTTACAACAGCCCCAGATTCAAGAATGGCAGCAAAAGCATAAAGAGTTGCTTGGATGTGCTGGACGTTCCTCAGCTGCTCTTGCACCTGCCTACTGTCTCCGCCTTCTTCTGGATCACCCCAGGTCACAACAGCCCCAGATTCAAGAATGGCAGCAAAAGCACCGTCAGTTGCTTGGATGTGTTGGACGTTCCTCAGCTGCTCTTGCACATGGCTGCTGTCTCCGCCATAGTCTGGATTGCCCCAGGTCACAACAGCGCCAGATTCAAGAATGGCAGCAAAAGCAAGGCGAGTTGCTTGGATTTGTTGGACATTCCTCAGCTGCTCTTGCACCTGGCTGCTGTCTCCGCCACTGTCTGGATCACCCCAGGTCACAACAGCCCCAGATTCCAGAATGGCAGCAAAAGCACCATTCGCAGTTGATTGGATGTGCTGGACATTCCTCAGCTGCTCTTGCACCTGGCGGCTGACTCCGCCCCAGCCTGCATAACTCCAGGTCACACACTCGTCTCCGTGGCCATGCCAAGCGAACGCCACATGGGTGGAAGCGAGTTGGCCGATCTGCGCAACTGCAGCCACCACGTCCCCAGCTCCCAACCCGACTTCGCTCACAGTGGCCGTCAAATCAAGCTGCTGGCCTTTCGTGGTCAGCTTCAAACGGCGCTTGAAATGCTGCTGTGCTGCAGCCTTCAGCTCTCTGATGGGCGTCGCCGGCGAGACTTCTAGGGAGCAACCATCTCCACTGGGCAAGTAAACATCCACCCTCATCGCTAAATGTGGGACGAGAGGATGCAACGGGTTTCACCTTTAGCTAGTGGCCCGAAACTTGGTTGCTGTTGATCCCTCTGCTTGAAGTTAAACTTTTTGGTTGTTTAGTGGAAAACATTTTTATTTCCCAAAAAGTTAAAGTCTAAAGATCCAACCCAATGGCAGTCAAGGAAGCATCTTTCAGGGAAGCCCGGGGCAAAGAAATCCGTGAATTCTAGCCTTCCAGCTCCTATCCCAAAGCCCTGCATTGCCAAAAACCGTTGCCAGGCCCGGACTTTGGCACGGATATGCACGGATGTGTGTGTGTGTGTGTGTGTGTGTGTGTGTGTGTGTGTGTGTGTGTGTGTGTGTGTGTGTGTGCGGTTTTGGACTGCACCCTTGTCAGGTTGGTTTAAATGGGAAACTGAAGGACTTAGGGCTTCAATGTTGGCACCCCACATGTTCCCCCATGTGGATGGACGAAATCCTTAAAAACCTGGGGTGATGCTTCCTTCCCCAATGTTGGCACAGACCCAAATTGTCCCCCATTCCTAGTTGCCCAACGACTGGCAGCAAATTGGTGGATCACTTTTCAGGTTGACATGTTTTGCTGGGGCGCAGCGTCATTCCTCAAGCATGATGCTTGTGATCCATGATCTAGAGCGCGCACAAGGGTCGGATGTTTTTCCCTTGAAATGGCAAAACCCCTCGCACACCTGTCTGCCGAGGTCTCCCCCCATAATTATGTTGTTTTTTCAACTGGTGTCAGAATGGGGAACCCATCAAATCGGTGGTCCTTTTGGTTTTCCTTTGACGTGAGACCCACTCTCCCGCCATGGCACGAGTTCCAATGGGTCGGTGAGACTTGGCGTTCAGTGAAAAACCCATTCTCGTGAACCAAGTCGAATATTCCAGGGCACCAGCCAGTACATCCCAGTTACCTAAATGGTTGGCCTGGACCCCCAAAAGCCCTCTTTTCATTGCCTTTGACCCAGAAAAAAGCGGTACAACGCCAGAAAAAAGGGGTCTTTTGGGGGTCCAGGGGGTTAGACCTTCGCCACTTTTCCGGTTGGGGTTTATATCGGGTGGTTTCTTCGGTACAAATACCTACCCCAAAACTCTTTAAAATCTCAATGCTATGGGCGTGCAACAAACTGAGCCTGTTCCTTGCCGTCTACAAAAACACAACAGAGCCTTTAAACACATATCTACCTGAAGTCTCCATGACCCTTGCAAAATGGGTCCATGACCCCATTGTTTTGGGTAATGACCCCATTTTTAAAGGCATGGAGACTCCAGGTAAAATCATGATCCACATGCACCACTGCAACAGTTTTGGTACGGCGCGCAAACAATTTCTCAGGGACCCACTAGCCTATGGGAAACAAGGTTAACCCTGTGGATCCCATTTACCTGCATAGGTAACCGAGCGAACCACCCGATATGCAATCCAACAGGGACATAGTGAAGGGTTACCTGCCCGATGGGTTTGCAACTGGGATCCACTGGGTAACATGAGGGCCTAAATAATTTCGAACAGTTTACTCCCATCATGGCGAAAATTGGTTTAAAAACCACTCCAAATGACCCTGTAGTTATCAAACGGCCTTAGTCTCACTTCCCGAGTGGATGGCCCAAGACAAGTACCCACACCCCCCACTCCAAATACCCGCTTTTTTCAGGGTATGATGTCGACCCTCTACTAAAAAGGGATCGGTATTTACCTTGAAAAACCGATCGGTTTTCCAAAAAATACAAACTAGAAAAAGGCCGGGTATTTGGAGGTTACGGGGGCACATTTTGGCCGCTCAAACGGTCACCCGAAAAGCGACGATCAAGTCCAACTCAGGAAGTGGACTAAACCACTTGCCAAATTCCAGGAATTGGCTCAAATGAATGCCAGAACTGTCGTAAAAAAGAAGAAGAAGGAAAACAACAAAACACATGTTCTTCACCCAGTGAGTACCTTAGGAGAAAAAGCAAACACAAGTGTTGCAGCTTAAGTGAGATACCTTAAGGGGGCCTTCCTCAGACTGGAATTGGAAGTGGATCGACCGAAAGTCGATCCCGCATCGAAAGGCCTAGGTCTTCTAGTCGGTTAAGGGAAGCCATTTGGCGGGTCAAAAATATGTACCTGGAGTCACTCTAAGGACCCTTTAAAAATGGTTGGTCAGACTACCCAAAATAATGGTTGGTCATGGACCCATTTTTTACGGGTCATGGAGACTCCAGGTACCCTCACTCCCACTAACATGGCACCTGACAGAGGTTCCATTCAAAAAGGAAAATTATCTTCCAGGTACCCTCCCACAGGTGCTATGTTAGTGGAAGAGGGGGTACCCAAAATGGAATCCTGGTAAATGGGAAGATGGACCAAAACCTGCGGTCCAATCCCTGGTGCTGACTATTTTTTTGACCCATGCGAAGCCATTTGACCGCCACACACCGTACGGTTTTTAGGCCATCCCCCATTTCTCCTTAAGATGTATGATGTCGACCCTCTACTAGAAAAGGAGATATTTACAATGGAAACCCAGGTTTTTCCAAAAATATCCCAAACACCGGGCGGTTTTCAGGAACGCCATAAACCCCCAAACCGATTCCTTTGGCACCGAGTTTGTTTTTTGTTGGTCAACGGCAGACAGCTTGACGGCTAAGGTCTGGACCTTAGCCGTAAGATTCCTTTCTGGCTGGCTGTGCAAAAGGAAGCGGTCCATTGGTCCACTGGGGTTGCCTACTTAGGTATTTGGAATGGATCTGCTTGAATGACAAATTTTCTTCATTACATGGTCTTCTGGGGGAATATGTAGGTATCTAGCATGGATCTACCTGGAGTCTCCATGACCCGGAATAAAAATGGGGTCAGACTACCATTTTTATTTCGGGTCAGAAGGAGACTCCAGGTACTGAGATCAACAGGAACTGCCATTTTCTTCTTGCTCACTAGGCTGGAATTCGGACCCCAGCAAAAAATGAGATCTTTTTTGCCTGGTGAGTGGAAAACAAAGGGACCAATTCCAAGAAAACAACAACAACAAAAAAGGCAAAAAGGGGAGCGAATTCTGGACCCCCAAAAGAGCCCTTTTTATTGCCTTTGACCCAGAAAAAAGCGGTACAAAGCCAGAAAAAATTGGTCTTTTGGGGGTCCAGCTGGACAGGAATTGCCATTTTGTTCTTGCTCAGTGGTTTGCGAAATGGCTCTTGAAATGGTCTCAAACCTCAACCTCGAAATGATTTCGCTCCACTCTTTTTTTTGCGCACGTCCTTAGCCCAGAGAGACACAGAGTCTTACCCCGTAACCACCCAATACCCGGCCTTTTTTAGGGTATCACGCAAACCCTCTACTAAAAAAGGAGGTATTTACCATGGAAAACCAGGTTTTCCAAAAAATGCCCTAAAAAAGCGGGTATTTGGAGTCGGGGGTATACCTTAGCCCAGAGGGTCGAGTCCAAGGACCACAGACTTTGAGGATTTGAATCTGTAATTGACGAATCCCCTTGAACCAAACCCTATGGGGTACTTAGTTGGTACCTTTGGAGCTTCTTTTTCGACCTGGGCAGATCGCCATGGGTCAAAATCCAAATCGTACCCCTGTGAACGGGACCCCATCCAACCACTAAAATAGGTTCCAACATGGGTGGTGAATTCACCAATCCCAACCAAAATGGGATCCCAAAACGGTGTTGACCACAGCCAAGTGAGTGGATTTGAGAGATGTGAGCCTTTCTCCCCCGGCATGAAACCCCATGCTGATGAACCGCCCAGCGACTTGGGGCTGCGGCTGTGAACATGTCCCACTCCAGGCTTTTCACCTCAGAGCTCCAAAAGCCGAGCTTTGAGAGAGAAGGGATTGGCCGGGTGAGCTGATGAGTGCTAGGTACCCCCGTAACCTCCAAATACCCGGCCGCTTTTTTGGGGTATTCTTTGGGAAACCGGTTTCGGTTTTCCAAGGTAAATACCTCCTTTTTTAGTAGAGGGTCGACATGATACCCTAAAAAAAGTGGGTATTGGGTCTAAGGGGTAGGTACCCCTTAGTTCCACCCAATACCCGATGCCTTTTTGTTAGTTGGTATCATGTCGACCCTCTACGAAAAAAGGCTTGAAAAACCGAAACCGGTTTTCCCGAAAATACCAATTAGCAAAAGGCCGGGTATTTGGAGTAGGGGGTAGATACCTGGAGTCTCCATGACCCGAAATAAAAATGGGTAACCATGACCCCTAGAAGACCGCTTGACCAAAAGATGCGCCGGATTTCGCCTGCTCTTCGTGTGGGTTTCTGGTTGGTGACATTTTACTCTTTGGATATCCCACAGGTTGGTGAGATGTTACCCCATTCTTTTGGGTAATGACCCCAGTTTTAAAGAGTCAGAAGGAGACTCCAGGTAGTCACCCTCTCCCAAACATATGGGGGCCAAATGTACAAGCAAAACCAAATCATGAATTGGCAATGCTGACCGGGATGATCTTTTCCCTCACTCAAACAACTATCATGGGCTGGGGGGAGGGAGGGGAGGGGGAGGGGGAGGGAGCCCAAACATGTCCTAAATAAGGCCTTATTAAGGGCTTCAGGGCTTATTTGGGCTCCTTCCCCCCCCCCCCGCCCACATGCCAAGCACCAAAGATGTGCCAGAGGACATACAGCAGGAATCGGAAGCCTCCGGGTCCTTTTTGCGGAGTCGAGTGTACAGATCCCCCTGTAAAACCTATACCCTTTGTTTAAGGGAGTTTTTTGGAACACCAGGTTTTCCAGGGTAAACACCTCCGTTTTCAGCAGAGGGTAGGGTCCAAAAAAAGGGGGGCACCCCCGCTTGGTTTTGCATAGGCGGAGGATCTTGGAGGTTGGCTCATGGGGGGGGGGGGGGGAAGGTGAAGGGGCGGGGAAGGTCGGCGCACCGCTCGAAACCGACCCTTGTGCCCCTTAAAACTCAGTGCGGGACTCCGCCATATGAGACCCTTGAGCCCCTTAAAACTCAGTGCAACACTCTATGGGTGGCTCGTCTTTTTTAGGATTCGGACCGATTCGGACCCCCAAAAAAGGGTGTTTTCCTGTTGGTTTCCCTGAAAACCACCAAAACAAACGGTGCCCTCAAAAAAGAACACAGACCGGGAACACTACACTCGGCCCGCCTGAGAGGGTGTCTACTTGGGCCCCTGCCTCCCAAAAGGCAGCAACCCTGCATTGGTATCGATTCATGAAGGTTGAGAACCTATCCAAGCACTTTTCAGGTCCATGCCGAGAGCCGCCCAAAACCTATCAGGACCCTTTTTGGGAAGACAGGGAACGGGCACACAGAGGCTGCGTCGTGCGATGTAAGTGAGTGAAGCAACTTGTTTCAGGTGTGACTGTGTTTCAGCTTTCAGTGTGCCCATTCTCTGAAACCAAGTTGCACCCTTCGTTGGATTTAATTTCGGGAGATCCACTACCATATCCCTAAGCAGACCTCCGATCGGCTCCGTTCACCCCTCGGCCACAAATTGGATGGGTCCAAGGCTCCTTAGCTCCTTCTGGGGTACCCAAACTTCTTACCACCAAAAAAGTCCAGACCCCAAAACGGACAATCAAGTCCGAGTCCCGGGAAGGGGTCCTCTTCTAATGACGCCTACAGCTCTGAGCCCGCCGACTAGTCTAGTCGTACCTTGGGTACCAGGTGATTTGGGTAAAAAGGACGCCCTTTCTTGGCTGTACTTGCAGGGGGAATCATCATTCTAGGGTTTTCTGAACGGTGGCGCGCGAAATGGATTTCGTAACCATCCACACTATAACGTTGGTGTTCTCTCCCCATGCTGCCATCTCGCTTTTCCCTTACTGGCCTGCCCTCAGATCCCCCGCTAAAAGTTTGACTAACTCTTAGTGGGTGAAATTCGGAAACTACCGAATCTAAACACTAAAAGGATCTAAAAAGCTAAGTTGAACCGGATGGCTGGCTTCGCCAAGTCTTGGGTCCGGGAGCCAAGCCGTTCTCGCCGCGTTTGAGGGGAAAACGCGCTCAGCGCCGCGCCGGTCCAGCCACTGGCGGCCGCTCGGACACTCGGCGCAGAGTTTCCTCACCGCGAGAAAAAAGCGGGGCGCTCCCGTCTGATCCGCGAAAACTGGGCTGCGGGAACGACCCCCCTTCAAAAAGTGAGTTTCACTTTTTTGGTTTAGCGGAAAACACCACTTTATCTCAACCAACAAGTTAAAGTCTAAAGATCCAACCCAATAGCAGTCAAGAAAAGTGAATGCCTCCCACATGGACGTGGTCAGACCCCTGAAACATGACCGACTCCTCTTGGAAAGGGGCGTTGTGCACCATGTTAGTTGGCAACGCTAAAAGTGGATACCCTCCCACCTGGCGGCGGCTCAAAAACATGGACCGAAATGACACCTTGCGAAATGGAAACGAACAGCCAAACCTGCGGTTTGCCCCTCCGGTCGCTTAATTTTGAGCCACACCCACATGGACGTGCACAGGACTTCTGTAGACAGACGACTTTCCTCTTGGCAAGGGGGTTGTGCGCACTTCCGCTGGGCTGGAAATAGGACCCCAGCAAAAAAAACAAACCTGGTGAGTGGAAAACAAAGGGAACCCCAAAAAAGCAAAAAAGTGAAACGGCTGGTGGGAGGGTAGCTAAGCCTACAAAACACAACTAACCACTAACCTCAGGGATGGCTGGAAACTAGGAAGATTTAGGAAGATAGTGAATACCTGGACCCCGACTCACTACACCAACTGAAAGCAGCCCGAAAAAAACTCTATCTGGAACCGACACCCACCAGAAACAAACACAAACAGATTCGGTGACTTTATGTTGGTTGGTTTTTGAGAAGCAACCTACTTTAGGGGGTTCCCTAGCTTTTGCACAGACCCTGGTGTCCTTTTTGCCCCTCGAGCTACCTGGATGCTCGTTGCCAAGTTAGAAAGTCATTATTACTCTGCAGCTTCTAACCCACTAATAAAACACGGTTAGCCCCACTGAACGGGGACTCCCAAGTAGGTTATAACCGAACGGTCACGAAGGACTAGAAGACAGCTTGGATGCGCCGGATTTTGCCTGTTCTTCCCCCTGTAGCAGGGATCCTTACATTATACACCTGAACATTGCAACTTGTAAATGGTGGTTTCCATTTCTTCATTTTGGTGTTGAAAAAGAAAGCCATGTTTCAAATGGTTGCAGAATGGAGATTTCTTTTAAGGGGCGTGTAGGTTTCTTGGTTGTTTTCTTGTTTTCTTACTCTTATCCCGCAGGATATCGATCCACTCAAGCCTCCGTTTCCGCAAGAGGCCGAACTTAGGGGACAACAAGTACCTGGAGTCTCCGTGACCCTTTATCTAGGAAACGGCTTGGATGTTGTTTTTGTGGATCCACCCCTGTAGGATGTTAAAAGAGTAGTAAAAGAGTACTAAAAAGGAACCTACAGGGGGAAGGACGGGTGAAATCCACAAATAGCGCGTCCAAACCGTTGTCTAGACTTAAAAAATGGGTCCATGACCAACCATTCTTTTGGGTAGTCTGACCAACCATTTTTATTTCGGGTCATGGAGACTCCACATAAGGGCCAACAACCCAACGGTCACCGACAACTTACGGCCGAACATCCGAGCGAAGGTTTTCCGTGACTCCGTTGGGTTCTTGCCAAAATCTATGTTTATGAGTTTACAGAGTTGCAGCCGGGAATTCAACATATAGATCAGGGGAATATGTGTGTTGACTTGGTCGAACGCATGAACGTAGCAGGTCGAGCTTTAGCTTTTCTAAGCCCGAAAGGGGGTCGGAACCCAACTGAATGAAAGGCCGCCGAACCTTTTGGTTGACTCAGCTGCCCCTTTAGGGACTCCCTGGCACCCCGTATGGCTGTTTTTGTTTCGGTCAAACTCCCGTATTTGGCCGTATTTGCACGTATGGCCATGATTTTTCGGTCATTTGCGTAAATCACCCGTATGAAACCCATATTTGTTCGACATGTTGTTTAAACAAAACCGTAAAAAACTGTATGGCCATTTTTTCGGTCAAAGGCGTATGACCCAAAAAAAAACGGCCATATGGGGTCCCAGGTCGCAAATGAATGGTGATCACGGTTTGGCACTTCTGCTTAAAGCGGGAACCCGACGTGGGGACTTACCAAAAGTTCTCATTTCGCTCGGTCGATTCGCTGTGCAAAGGGTTCCTTAGGGTTCCTTGAGGCCTGAGCAACACCCCCTCCCCCTCCCGGACTACCTGAAGGGAGTCCATAGGTCGAGTTGACTTATTGGAAAGACTCGTCTTGGCCCGAATCGAAGATCCAGAAAGGTCTTCTCAGGTCTCCCGCGGCAAAAACACGAGGTCCCGACATGAATTTCAGGGGGCCCGAACTGGTGGACACCATTTAGGTGCCTGGAGTCTCCATGACCGTTAAAAAATGGGGTCATTACCCAAAATAATGGTTGGTCATGGACCCACTTTTAAATGGGCAGAGGGAGACTCCAGGTGGATATTTTCATGTGCCACTTTCGAAGGAGCTCGTGAGAAGCTGATGAAAATATGAGAAACTGAGCTCGTGAAAAGAAGCTTCAAGGAGAAGCACAACCTTTGATTAGCAATGGAAGCCCCGGAGTCATACACAAAACCTGGTTTTCAGCACCAAAACAAAACCACCCATCTATAAACATGCCAACAGTGAAGGTGCTGATTTTTTGTTTGAAGGGCAACCTTCACTTCTGGGTGAAACGCGGCCTTTTAATCTGCCGTTGGTCAACCTGACGGACGGCAATCCGGAGGGCTTCACTAAAAAAGCAGGTCTGGCCAGGTCGTTACACACACCTTCCAAAGACGGAGACGTTTGGTAAAAGATAGGTGGGGCTGCCTGGGTACTCTTTTGTTGGTGATGTTCTACCAAAACCAAAAGGAAAACCACCGTTATGGGGTGTCTACAGGTCCGGCCGAAAACGGCACGCCATCCGAATCCAAACAACACTTGTCAAATGCGACCAAGCGAAGCAACCGTAGGGTTGCATATGTATCCTCTTTAATCACTCCATATCAACGAATAGAAACTCGCCTTCTGACCAAAGAGCGATGTCTACCCTCTAATCGTGGCATCCAAACACTTTCTCCGTTCAGAGGTTGAATGATCCTTCCGGCTGAAACCTGTTGAACTTGCAAGTTGCATTCCTAGGTCCTCCAGATTTGAGGGGTTAGAATAGGGGAACCAACTTTTTTCTGTAGCTATTTCAGTAGGACCCTCCCAACCAACAAGGGGTGAGAAATGGCACCTGGCTGGGAAACCTAGATTCAGATTAGTCCAGGTCCTAATTTTCCAAGCCCATAGCCATTTCGGACCGATTTCCCATAATTCAGCTGTAACTACCGGCTCACTAACCCATAAACATAACCCTGAGGTTCAAACCACCATTAAAACAATGGGGGTCAATATAACCTCCATTTGCCTAAGCTTGGTTAACGTTGGGTTCGGGGAGCAACACAAAGGATAATTAGCAGCAAAATTGTGGTTGGATTTCAACCACTGAACCACAAGCAAAATGTGAAATGTGTCCCAACAAGCATTTAAGGCCAAATTGGGTCTCCTGCCATTCTTATGGGAAGGAACCCCAGGGAAAAAAGCTAGGGGCCTTCCCGAGGGCTATCCTGGCTTCTCTCAGCGTGGATGTCCATTGGACAAAAATCGGCCCGGAATTTCGTTGGTTGGCTTCCCCTTGGGCACCCGGACACCAGATAAAGAAGGACAAAAGGGCGCAACCCACTGGTTGCAACTGGCTGAGCAACCGACCAAAAAACACGGCTGGTCCCGCTGAATGGGGCGAACGGTCACCAAGGACATACAAAGTCGCCAGACAATCCAAGTACCCCCTACTCCAAATACCCACTTGTTTAAAGGTATTTTTGGGAAAACATGGTTTTTCAAGGTCAAATACCGATCCTTTTTTTAGTAGAGGGTCGACATGATACCAACTAAAAAAAGGCCGGGTATTGGGTGGTTACGGGGTAAGGGCCAGAGCTCAGTGGGGGTTGATCCGTCGCACGGTTTTGAGTTCCACGGCACGGCGTTTTCAGCGGTCCCGAGTGGGTGATCAAAAGGTCGACTTACATGAGAGCCCTTATGTTGACCCAGGATCTAAGTAGAACCCGTCCCACTAGGGGGGTGGAAACCCCTCCAAAAGTGGTCTGAATCCCCACTAAAAGGGGACACCCCCCTATTAATCAACCAGGGGTTTATTAATCCGGGGTTAACATTTTGAGGAACGCCAGAAAAAGAAATGACCTTCGCACTGAATCGGAAAAGCTACCGGTCATGGTGACCAACCCCCATGTGAATCAACCCCCGTGCGATTTACGGGTGGGCCACCGCACGAACTGACATGCGATCAAAGCGACGGCTGCCTGAGAGTCCTGCAACTCTCCGTATGGGTGTGGTCTTCTTTGGGGGAACCCCTTCCTTTAAAAACACGGATGCATGTGTGTGTGTGTGTGTGCGTATGTGTCGCAACATGGCGGTGGTATTGTGGGCAGCTTTGCATTGATTGGCTTGAGGTCAAGGACAAACCAACCCCGGCAAACGAGAGGCCAAAAGAAAAAGCCGTAGCTGGAGTCTCCTTCTGACCCTAAAAAAATGGGGTCATTACCCCAAAGAATAGGGTCATGGTTACCCATTTTTATTTCGGGTCAGAGGGACCTGGCACCCCGTATGGCTGTTTTTTTCGGTCAAACTCCCGTATTTGGCCGTATTTGCCCGTATGGCCAGGATTTTTCGGTCATTTGCGTAAATCACCCGTATGAAACCCATATTTTTTCGACATGTTGTTAAAAAAGAAAATAGTAAAACACTGTATGGCCATTTTTTTCGGTCAAAGGCGTATGACCAAAAAAAACGGCCATATGGGGTCCCAGGGAGACTCCAGGTAGGCTCATTCGACCAAATGACCATCCAAACCAAAGCCATATGCCGAATGCGTGAAATATTTGACGCTCCCTGACAATATGCCGAGCTCACAGAGAATACTCTGTAGGGCGCCTACATAGCTCCTGTTGTAAAGTGTCCCAATTGTCTTGTGGCTCAATTGATCGTTATACCCTTAATAAACACTTCCATGTCAATGTGCAGACGAATTGGTGGATTTTCACGTGTTTCGGGGAACCCCTGAAATAAAGCCAACGGGCGCCCAAATCCACCAGTCAAGTTTCCCACCAACCCAAGACCAAACTTTGTTAAAAACCAGCCGTTTTTGTTCGGAAACCCCATCAAAAACCAGAGGTTGAAAAGGGGAGTTTCACAGAGAGCCCCTCTGAAAAAAGACACACAAGATGAACACAGGGATCCGGATGCATTATACACCTGAACATTGCAACTTATAAATGGTGGTTTCCCTTTCATGAAAAAGCCACGTATTTCAAATGGTTGCAAAATGGACATTTCTTTTAAGGAGCCCGGTGAACACCTCTGGGCACCCCCGCGAGTCGACGTACGTAAGTGCACTGGGAGAGACTGGACCCCGACTTGGCACCTCGAAGCCGACCGACGTCGGTCGGGCGTGCGTCATTCGCGATCCGCGATTCGGTTTTCACGCTACCCCCGTAACCTCCCAAATACTCGACCTTCTTCCAGTTTTTGTATTTTTTGGAAAGCCGGTTTCGATTTTTCAAAAACCAAATACCGATCCCTTTTTTAGTAGAGGGTTGACATCCCCTAGAAAAGGAGGGTATTTGGAGTAGGCCCAGGGAGTCCAAAGCCCGTTTCGAGTTACGGCCGAAAAAGAAAACACGGCGTTGGTTTTTTTACGTCGCCTTTTTTGCGGGGTGTCTACGTCCTTTTTACGGGCTTTGTTCGGCCTTTTTACCGGGGTGTTGAAACCGGCCGTTGACCAAAGGCCGAAGTTATTTGGCCGAGGAAGCTCTGGGTCAAGCCATACTGATGGTTTCGAACTTTCGAAGCTTTGGTTGAAACCCTGAGGCTTGAATCCGGTATCGAATCCTTCCGGGGCGATTCGGGGCTTCCGGAGTCAACCATCCCTCGGTGGCGAAATCTGCGAGGCCCTGCTAAAAGTGACTAACTTCTAGTGGTTCAGTTCGGAAAAGATCCACTAGTTGGCAAGAAGCTCTCAAGTCCTAGCCGTCTGCAACATGCAACAAAGGTTTGTTGTTTTCCCTGAACCACCAAGAGAGGGATACCATGGGTACCCTCAAAAAGAGACAGAGAGCATCAAACAAAATCCAACTGGGCGGTGTCCCTTGGCTTCCCTTGACCTAGGTGTGCTTGGGTGTTCAGTTTCTAAGTTCTACCCCGTAACCACCCAAGACCCGGCCTTTTTTTAGTTGGTATCATGGCGAACCTCTACTAAAAAAGGAGGTATTTATCTTCAAAAACCAGGTTTTGCAAAAAAATGCCCTAGAAAAAGTGGGTATTTGGAGTAGGGGGTAGCCGTCCCGGTTGTAGAATGTGGGGCTAGGAAGCTGTTGGGTGAAATACCCCAAGCGGAACGTCCCCAATTTCGAGCTTGAATCGGACATCCAACTAGGCGAGCCATACGGGGGACCCCAAACTGGTGGCTTCCCATTTCCCTTTCAACCCAAAACTTCCATTTGTTTTCGCCCCGTGGAAAAATCAAAATATGTTCAATAGTGATAGATTCCCTTTAAAACCAACAGGGCAAAATAATAATAATAATAAAAAAACATATTCTTACTGTAAGCAAATGGAAGAAAAGAATTACCGAGCCGCCAACCAAACGACTTGCTGGTGCGATAGGCAGGGAATGTGGGAATGAACCGGTTTTGGGGATTCCCGAATAAGGGAAACAACCAGTGGGATGGTTTTCTTGGGGTCGTTCCATTTCCCTACGAGCCATTAGCCCCTACTCCACTTACCCACTTTTGTCTATATAGGTTATTTTGGGAAAAACCGGTCGGTTTTATCCTTTTTTAGTAGAGGGTCGACAAATCATCCCCAAAAGCCCCAGCCCATTCCTGGATCTTCGGCTTTCAATGGAAGACCATTTCGACCCCTCCATTAGACACCCAAAAGGTCCCGAATCGGTGGTTGGGACGCCGGTCTCGCAACCAGGTCTAAAAAACGGCGTCGGGTATGGGGTTTGGGGTACCTAGGCGCCCAGGGGATCCCGGCTCAAGTTGCGTCATAGAAGACCCGGAACCCTTGACTAGGTCCTCCAGTTTGGGAGTTTGGAAATCGCGGTACCTGGAGTCTCCAAAGGACCCGAAATACAAATGGGAAGGGTCGGACTACGTTGGTCACGAACCCGGCACTGGGGGACCTAGTGAAAATGATTCTGAAAATTGGTGATTGCAACCCAAAAGTATGGGCGACGTCCCTTTTGTATGGGTATTTTGAGGGTCCAGGCAACCCAATCAAGTCATTATCACGGGAAATCATGGTGATGCTTTACCCATAGAATAAATCAACAAAAAAACAACCACCACATCTTGGCGATTTGACCACTTGTTTGAAGATATACACAAACCATTGTTTCGCGAACCTGCTTTTGCCAGAAAGGGGCCAGGTCTGGTTGACACAAAATTTGCCTGAATGCTTTTCCACGAGTGTTTTGTTTGCTCTGCGTGTTTAGGTCAACGTGGGTTTGTGTCAAAATAGGAGGATGGGCTTGGTGGCTTCCCTTTTGGCTTTCCTTTCAACATATCGGGAAAAAGGCAGCCCCGCAAAACACCAACCCAGGTCTGTGTGTGTGTGCGCGTATGAAGTCACCAAGGTGTTAAGCCGTACGACCTTCGCCAAGCACATGTCGTTCTCATGTCAAGTGGACATCTGAGCAACGACGCTCAGCAAATACTCAGCATTGACCGTAGCTCACATGACAGCTACAGCTGCCTTCTAGCCGAAAGGATTGCTGATCGCTGTCAAAGATGCACCTGGAGTCTCCATGACCCTTAAAAAATGGGGTCATTACCCAAAAGAATGGTTGGTCATGGACCCATTTTTAAAGGGGCAGAGGGAGACTCCAGGCAGTTCATGAGTTCATGATGAACTTCGCACACTTCTCTTGTCTCGTGTCTCACCAATCCCAGCGGGACAAAGTCTCACCCAACACGTGACCCCCTCCCCAAATTCCACGAGGGCGGGGATGGAAGAAGAGGACCCCGGCAAAAATGAGATCTTTCGGCCCGTGGAAAACAAAGGGACCAATTCCAAAAAAGCGAAAAAGCAAAAAGGGGAGCTAATTCTAGGGAAGTCAGAGCGTGGGGATGGGTTACATGGGCAGCACAGAAGTCAAGAAGACAAGTCACCCGACAACAGCTGCAGCAGCTACAAGTCCAGAGGCAATGGGATGGTTCTGCAAATCTGGGCTGCCCGTTTTCTGATCCCCTGCTAAAAGTGACTAACTTTTAGTGGGTTAAATACGGAAATTCCAACTAAAACCCAAAAAGCAAAAAGGCTAAGGAACCGGATGGCTGGGAGCCACCTAGAAATGTCAAGTATACTAAAGGGCCTGCACCCGGGTGAAGCTAGATGGTGACGAAGGAAGGGTCCATTTTTCCAGCCACTTCCCAACCACACACACACACACCTACCTGGAGTCGCCACCCTTTGAAAATGGTTGGTCATTATCCAAAAGAATGGTTGGTCAGACTATCTGGAGTCTCCTTCTGATCTTGAAAAAATGGTTGGTCAGACAACCCCAAAATAAAGGTTGGTCATGGACCCACTTTTATTTCAGGTCTTTAGGGAGACTCCAGGCCAAGACCTAGGAATGTGCGCTGTCCACTTTGCTCATGCGCATCTTCAACCAGCTGGTAGCCATCGCGTGGGACAAGGGTTGGTTGACTGCAGAGTCACATGCAACCCAGCAAACCATCGGTAGTAATGTTGACCCATGTTTTCATATACCCAGCTATTAATCAGGTTGTGGTTTTGGAAGAAAGGATTCCAACCACTAAAAAGGGACCCCCTCAATTAGTGGGGGGGGGGGGGTAAAAATATCCGGGGTCAAAGAAATCTCCGTTTTGGCTGGGAGCCACCAAGGTAGGTTGTTGGAAGAACACACGGTGAGACAACCCACAAAAGCCATGGTGAAAAAAGTATCCGTTCCGTCGGTGACCAGGCTTACTAACCACTTACCTGACGTTCACTCCTTTTGCCCCGGATGGGACCCACAAATAGGAGGCGTTCACCTTTTGTGGTCAGCTAAGTGGATTCGCTTGCAGGCAAGTGGGTCAATGGTTCAGGGATCCGGATGCATTATACACCTGAACATTGCTGCCTTGTAAATGCTGGTGTCCAACTTTATTTTGGTGTTGAAAAAGCCACATGTTTCAAATGGGTGTGGGTCAAAATTAAACCACCAGGGGACCACAGGTTTTGGTCCATGTTGCCACTTACCAGGGTTCCATTTCGGGATTGCCCAGTTTTTGACCCACAGCCAAATGGTTGCCAAATGATCTCCTGTGGCCCCTGTGGTTGTTTCAACGAATGAAAGTGGGCGCGGAACAAGGAAACCAGGTTATGGGGGCTGGGGGAGGGAGGGAGGGGAGGGGAAAAAAAAAAATGGTTAAAAGATTGATTCTAAGGCAGGGAATTTTCAGTTTTCAGTTTCAGGGGCAGGGTTCATTTTCAACAAGCAAACCATTTTGTCCAAAACACCAAGGTTGATTGTGGGGAATTTTCCTAAATTTTCTCAACATTTTTTACATTTTTTTCATTATGAAACAGTCTAAGATATTGACATTTACATGGTTAGGATTATGGATTTATCAATCATATTATAAATTAACAATATGGTAGATAATTATGGTTCTGTTTCATTTACTATATTCATGTTGTTTAGATGTTTTTTAGTTCGCTCGTGTCTTGCTTTGTGATGAAAAGTGACCATAACTTTACAGCAGGGACATTCATATCGCCATTGACGATATTCTTTGTGATATTCTTTTTTGTATTCCTTATTTCGTTCATAATATTCCTTTGCCTGTTGCCTTTCCTTTTCTCGGTTCTGTCTATGTTTCTCTCTACTTTTCTCACCACACCCATTACAGAGTTTTCTATTATCAGTAAATTCTACATCAGGGTTAGACTTTTTACACCAACTACATTTTCGCTCCTTTTGTTCCTCCATACTAATTATACCCATTATCCCTTTAAATGTTCTTGGGTAAATTTTCTCAACATTTTTTACAATTTTTTCATTATGAAACAGTCTAAGATTTCAACATTTTCAAGGTTCGGGTTTCAGACAATTTTAAGGCTTTCTGGGGGATACAAGTGTTTAATCATATTATAAGTTGTTAATATGAATAAACCAATAATATTGCTTAGGGTTTCCAATTGCTAAAATCAGCATAAATACCAATGTTTTCACCAATCTCATTCCACCACTGTTCTATTTTTCTTGACCAGCTTAATACTGTTTCTTTGTCAATATGTTTGTTTCTTTTCTTATGCTTCTCATAATTAAACCGAATGATTGCTTGAAGAATTAGAAAATTTGTTCTCCTAAAAAAGAATTTCATATCTTCAATGTTTTTACAACCTGTGAAT